CCAGGACATGTTGGAGGCACAAGGTCTCCCAGCTCGCCAGGGAACGTCTCATGATTCCCCCAGATGAGCTGGAGGAAGTGTTTGTCAATAGGGAAGTCTGGGTGTCTCTGCTCAGACTGCTGCCTCTGCGACTTGGCGCAGGATCAAGTGGAAGAAAATAGATGCTTACATGTGTTACTGGGTTACTTTGAACAGAGTTTAAGCGTACGTGATATTTATTCAAAAAAATGAAAATAAATCACAGACAGGGAGTTACCAAAGACAGATGTGTTGGCATGATTTGGTAATGATTTTGAAGAATGGACTTTCATTTAGATTTAGAACAGCAATTGGTTCATTACAGACCAGATTCCTAAACTATAATAATGGCAAAAATTTATCAAATATAAATTCTTGAAAAAATTACGTTTTTACTCTTAAATTAATAATTGTGAGAATTTGCTTTACTCTCTTAATCTTGTTCAGACCGACAACATTTACCAAAATCAAATACAATCACAGCTAATTTAAGTGACCTTTGATTTTGCGGTGTATTAACAAACTTGCATAGAAGAATGTTCGTCAAAAGGCATATTCAGTTTCAGCCATGTCAAAGCCTGTGACTGACTGGCTCTATATGTCCCATTTGAATCCAGATAAAGACGAGGGCGAAGAGGTCCATCTGTAATGCTCAACAAACCTCCTATCTCCATATCTGTTTGGTTGTGGTTCGCGAAGCCATTTGCAGCTTTTGTATCACTGAGGGTGACCTGGGCTCGGGTGCGAAAGGAAATCAAAGAGGAGGAGAAGAATGAGAAACGGTGGAGATTGTAATAAAGCTACGAACAGGCCAAAGCAGATAAGAATCACGGCCGACTGTTTGTCAAGTCCACAGTTGGAGTTTGGGTGCAGGGATTTTGTTTACAGAGAATACCCGAGCAACTTGGGGAGAGCTGGGAAACAAAAGGGACTTTTGTCTTTTAATATGTCACTGTATCTACGCATTTGTATCTTATGGTTTTATTTGTATAAGTCCTTCCTCAAGAGTGAGGGAAGGATGGAGCGTGAGATTGACAGGCGGATCGGTGCAGCGTGCGCAGTGATGCGGTCGCTGTATCGGACCGTTGTGGTAAAGAGGGAGCTGAGCCGAAAGGCAAAGCTCTCGATTTACCGGTCAATCTTCGTTCCCTCCCTCACCTATGGTCATGAGCTGTGGGTAATGACCGAAAGAACGAGGTCGCGGATACAAGCGGTCGAAATGAGCTTCCTCCGCAGAGTGGCTGGGCGCTCCCTTAGAGATAGGGTGAGGAGCTCAGTCACACGGGAGGAGCTCGGAGTAGAGCCGCTGCTTCTCGACATCGAGAGGAACCAGTTGAGGTGGCTCGGGCATCTGTTCCAGATGCCCCCTGGACGCCTCTCTGGGGAGGTGTTCCGGGCACGTCCCACCGGGAGGAGTCCCCGGGGAAGATCCAGGACACGCTGGAGGGACTCTGTCTCTCAGCTGGCCTGGGAGCGCCTTGGAGTCCCCCAAGATGAGCTGGAGGAGGTGTGTGTGGATAGGGAAGTCTGGGCGTCTCTGCTTAGACTGCTGCCCCCGCGACCCGGCAACGGACGAAGTGGAAGAAAATGGATGGATGGATGGTTTTATACGTATTAATCTGAGTGTGTGTGTGTGTGCTTGCCTAAGACAATCTTTTGTATGTGACACTCATATTAGATTTTCTTTTTTTTATTGTTGAACTGGTGCCTCTAACTTTATCATTCTGGGGGGCAAAATATTTTCATAGAACATTATGTTTAAAAAAGTTCATATTAATTTGACAATTATCAGAATATCAAGTAAATAATGTTTATTCGATTGAATTTGATGTAATATACCAATTTCAAGTTTGTATTATTTATTTGTATATCTAACAAGCAGGAAGAAAGCAAAAGTTGTAGTCTGGATTACCAAAACAAGAAGAAAACGTGATCCTGGTCCTGATATATGCATATATTGTAGAAATGTGTGGAATTTCAAAGTCAGATTGTATGATATGGTCATTTCAATGTAATTCTGTTTTTTTGTTTTGCCAATAACCACAACAAGTAAACATGTTTGAATTCCAAATAAATAGTCCACAATTCAAGTGCACAATTTCACATGTTTCTTTCTGTTCCCATATTTCTTTATAAGTTTGTTGAAGAGGCGTCCTCATGTGCCTCCTTCACTCCGCACAATGTGTTTAGAGCTGATAAAGCTGAATATGAATAAAGGGAATCTCTACGGGAACAATGAAAAAATACTTTCTTCAGACAAAAATTCTGTAGAGAGATGCTGGCAGTGCTCAGTGTGAGGAGATCAGATCATCAGTCCAGGTGCCCTTCGAGACAAAAGTTTTCATCAACAAAGAAAGTGTCTGAGGAATGTTCGGTTGCAGAGAAATCAACACATCGGCCTTATCGTGTTGATCAGAGCAGTGTGGTGTGTGTGCAGGATTGGGCTCTAATGATTCATTGATTCATCACAATATGATTTTATCAAAAACCATTTTAGAAACCAAATGGTCCTGAACTTTTTATACAAACGTCAACACATTTATTTGCTGAAAGATGTTATATTAATACACAAACAGGGGAAATAAAGGATAGAACACTCGTTTTTAATCATAAAATAGTCTGATCTGGGAAAAATCCTTGGCATTGCTTTACTTTGGCCAAACTGACATAAAAAAATCAAATTTGCATTCTCTTTGGAGATTGAACTCATTGGTTAATCAGAATAATCATGAGATTACTGTAATGAGTGTGGCAAGAAACCCAAACACAGACAGCAGTCAAATCTGAAACGTTTTCATAAAAAAATAACAGGGATATTGCTGATTAATGAGGTGGAGCGTGGTTGCAGTAAAGCGGTGTAAATTCAGAACACAGACCATGGGCGGTGCGGAACAGAGATCTGAGGCTCACAAAAATAACAGATTAAAAGGTAGAGTCAACCGACAGGTAAGTACAAGCAAAACATAGCTGTGCAACGTTTTACAATCTGACACATGGGATCTGGCTTCCGGGGTCATGGATCTTGATGTTTAATTGATCACATACAGCATCGGAAACCAATAAGCGTGAGCTTAGCTCAATTTAGAATTGATTTTGAGATGTTATTGTTTGTTTTTAAAGCTTTGAATGAACTGGCTCCACAGTGCGTCTCGGACCTCATCCAAATGTATCACCCGCCCCGCGCGCTGAGGTCTGAGAGCAGTGGTGTCTAAGACGAGGCTTAAAACCCGGGGGGTCAGGGCCTTCTTTTGTGGCTGGTCCAAAGCTGTGGAAAGCTCAGCCCCCCCCACTTCAAAACAGCTCCCTCGTTGGAATTTTTTAACACTGACATTCTCATGTGTGAAAATACCCAGAAACATACAAAATAAATCATTACAAAAAATCATAGAATGTTTTTTCCGGATTTTTCTTTTTTCGATTATGTTTCTAACAGTGGAAATATGTCTATGATGAACATTTCAGACCTCTCCCTAATTTATAAGTAGGAGAACCTGCAAAATTGCAGGGTGTGCAAATACTTGTGAACCTCACATGTATGTTTCATATTTTGTATTTAAAACAGTTGGTTGCCTAGCAACATATTTAAAAGAAAGTAATTTCCATTTTAATTCTGTGAAAAGAAAACAATCAAATTTTAACTTCTAGTATTGGCTGGTGCTGTTTTAGGTCAAATCCTACCTAAAAGTTAAGGATTATATTTGTCCTCTGCATTGACCCATCCTGAGTGCTACTTGGGCAGTGGTCGCCATAGTAACAGTGCCCAGGGTTGGTATACTCTGCTTGGACAGGACAACTAGAGCTGGAGGTTTTATCCTTTACCACCAGACATGTCATGCTTTCTCTAAATAAACACATTAGGTTAAGTCCATGAAAATAGATAAAAATATAAATTTGATTCCTAAAGCAATACTCCCACTTATCATTTTTTCATTGCCATGTGAGTAACAAGAAGTCACAAAATAGGAAATTGCTTTGGCTCTCGGTGCAAACAAGTTCATGTGGGCTCTCCTGCTGCGAGGCTTTTGACCCGCACCCACAGGAGAGCCCACATTACTCCTATATCTTGAAGGCCTTACACTGGCTCCTTGTCTCACACAGAATCCATTTTAAAATTCTGACATTCAGGGCAATTCATGGTCAGGCGCCTGAATACTTCCAGGGCCTGATCCACCCCTATGTTTCCAACAGAACCCTGAGGTCCTCCACTCAGAACCTGTTGATGGTCCCCCGCACTCTCTTTAAGACCAGAGGAGACAGATCCTTCCAGGTAGTTGTTCCTCGCCTCTGGAATGAGCTTCCTCAGCCTCTGCGTATCTTAGAGACTTAAGTCCCAACTAAAGACGTATTTGTTTAGACAGGCTTTCTCGCCTCACTGCTCATAGGCCTCTGTGAATGTAAACTGTGTTTTTCTGTGTTCTGCTTTTATCTGACTTTTATGTGTATTTTATGTGTTTTAATGTGTGAAGCGCTTTGTGATCCTGGTCTGTGAAAAGGCGCTATACAAATAAACTTTACTTACTTATTTACTTAGAGAATAGAATAAGGCATGCATAATTAAATCTACATCCACTTCTTTAAATTACTACAATATATAATTGTAATATTATAATATAATATAAGTGCACTTATGTCAATTGTTTGGCATTCTTCAGGTCAGCAAAATTAAAAACCAAGCTTATTTGTGTATGATTTGTGAATAAGGTTTTAACTGTTAATACACAAATTTGAATGATTTTAAGAACGTTTTACTGTTGGCTTTTAAAGACGCCGTCAATTGTGAACAATGATTTCAGGTGCTACTGTTTTTAAATGCTCGTCATGTGAGCTATATTGTGTCTGTGCGTTTGTAATTTGAGAGCTTTAGTTTTAGTGGTAAAGTTGAGTACACTACAATATACTACAAGGACACACAAGAGAGACTATCTGAAAAACAAACAACAATCATGTCCACAGAGACAAAAGAAACACAGTCAACCAGCGAGATGAATTGCAAAGAACGGCGTAACCTCTGCCGGGCCTTGGAACAGGCACAGTCCCAAACAAACGCAGAGGGCGCTGGTGAGGAGGTTCAGAAGGAGGCGGGTCCTTCCACTTCAAACATGGTGGAGACACAGGTTCAACAAGAACAACCTGAAGTCCCTGAAGAATCCACAAACCAGAATCCAACTGATCAATCCCGAGAGGAAGAAATAGACCGGCTAAAACTGCGTGTACAAATAGAATATGAGGAGAGGTACAAGGCCCACGTGATGATTGCAGCAATGACGGCACAGCACACGGAACAACTTTACAGCTAAAGACGCTATAATCCAACGTCTCAGAAAAGAGAAAAGTGATGTGTTCAGTGGCCTCCAGGAAAAGGCCCGGCAGTCGGTGCAGGACGAGATTCAAAACCAGGCTACTGCCAACTCTTTCCTCCGCGGGCAAGTGGAAAGTGGAAAGAACCAGAACCAGGTAAATGTCCAGTCTCTACAGGACCAAATCTCTCATTTGAATCAGGATCTGAAAAAGGAGCAGGAGGAGAATGAAAACCTGAAGTCCTCCTTAGAAACCAGTGAGGCGGCAACAGCAGCACTTCTTGAGATCTAGACCGACCAGCTGGACAAACAGAAGCAGGAGCTGGAACGTGAAGTCTCGTCTCTGAAACAGGCTTTGAACACTGAGAAGAACAAAGTGGAAGCACTGGAAAGAGAGAGGCAGCAGCTGACAACAGAGGTGTCAGGCCCAAAGCAAGCTCTGGGTGATTATCAAACTCTGCAGCAGGAGAAGGTCGGCCTACAGTCTGCAGTGAAAGACCTGAGGTTAAACCTGAGCCAGGAGAAGGAAGTCACTGATGTCCTCCGCTCCCGAGTGAATGATCTCAGCCAAAAGATACAGGAGCAGGAGGAGATAAGTCAGGCTTTGAACCAAAAAGTCCAAACACAGACGAGTACTTTCAGGAGTGCAATCGAGAGATGCCAAACTGCCATCACTTGTGCTGTGGCTCAAAAAGATCAACTCACAACGACTGTGGACAGCACTAAACAGGAATTAGAGGCATTGAGACTCAAGCACTCAGATGAGATGAGTGCAGAGCAGCAGCAGAGGAGCCTCCTGCAGGAGAGGATTGAGGAGCTGTCAAAGGCTCTGAGCGCCACAGACCAGAACAACTCAGACCTGGAGAAGCAGAGACTGGAGCTGCAGGGAACTCTCAGAGCAAAAGAGGACGAGCTGCAGGAAACTCTCAGGGCAAAAGAGGAGGAGCCGCAGGGGACGCTCAGGGCAAAAGAGGAAGAGCTGCAGGAGACTCTCAGGGCAAAAGAGGAGGAGCTGCAGGGGACGCTCAGGGCAAAAGAGGAGGAGCTGCAGGAAACTCTGAAAGCAAAGGAGGAAGAGCTGCACCATCATCACCAGCTGGACCATCACCAGTCTGAAGAGGAGGAGGAGGAGGAGGAGGTGGTTTTGCTGTGGCTTTTAAGTGCAAGACGAGGTATTAGAGGTCCAGGCTCTAACACGGACCAGGACACAATACGTCCTGAGGACTCAGTCCGGGCCGATCATGTTTTTCACAGGTCCTTGGACCATCCCAGCTGTGAGGGAACAGCACTTGACACAGAGCTGCATGGAGGCATGGAGCTCTGCAGCAGCTGAGCTACAGAATCGAAAACAGGCCCATCCTCTGGAGAGAACAGATCTGGAAGCTTATACATGTAGTTTTTCAGAATGGGTCTGTAAATGTTGAGCCACAGATATATGGCTGAAAAGTTACAACTCCATAAAAATCTAGACAAACTTTAGCGGATGAATTTAAAGAGACTTTACAGTAGTTCAGGTGTCGATTCCTGAATCGGTTTTGAAGCTATTGTATGCATGTTCTCATCCAGCTCAGATCCAAACAATCAGGTGAAATAGGACTAGGGATGAACGTTTTGTTTTATATAAATATGATCACAAACCCAATGTTTCTGAGTGGAGCTTGAGGAACAAAATGGTCTTTCCTGACTTGTGTAACAGCTCTTCTGAGGCTTCAAAGAAGTGTAAATTGAAGCAGCAGAAGGAATAAAACACAATATAGTACCAAGATGGGTCAAATGCAGAGGATACATTTCTCTAAAAAAAATGTATCAAGTGCATTTAATCCTTCTAAAGCAATTATTTGGGATTTACCCGCTGCTCGCCGACCCAGGGTCGCCACAGGGCACCCATGGGGGTTGTCATGGGTAAGACCAAAGAGCTTTCTAAGAGACCAGAGACAACATTAGCATAGGTGTCAAAGTCAAGGCCCGGGAGCCAGATTCGGTCCGCAAAGAAATGATCTTGACCCCCGGGATGATTTTTGATTTGTATTAGAACCGGCCGCACAGAGCCATTCGAAAATATTGGATTATTCATTTGATGTTAAGGCCATTTGTTTTCTCTTTTAAGGAAGTTTGTTTTTAATAAAATATGGTATACTGTGTTAGGTCTTGGATCAATTATATGCAATCATCTTAATATGTTTTAGGAAACACTGAACCAGTCCGGCCCTCGGCTTGTAGAAAATGAGTTGTTTTGGTCCTCTGATGTTTTTGACTTTGACATCCCTGTTATAGAGCATCACAAAGCAGGGAAAAGCTATGGAACAGTTGGGAAGAAGCTTGGTGAGAATAGATCAACTGTTGCAGGAGGAAATGACTACTAATCCTACCTCGGACTGGGAGCTCCATGTAAGATCTCTCTGTGGGGCCTCACTCATGATAAGAAAAGTGAGGAATCAGAAAACAAAAATAGAACCTTATGGTATAAACTCCACTCGTCGGGTTTGGAGGAAAAGGAAGGATGAGTGTCATCCCATGAACACCATCCCTACAGTGAAGCATGGGGGTGGAAACATCATGTTTTGGGGGTGCTTTTCAGCAAAGGGGACTGGAAAACTGCAGTGTATTAAGAAGAGGATGCATGGGGAAATGTATTGTTAGATTTTGGCCATAAACTCCTTCCCTCAGTCAGAGCATTGGACATGGCTGAGCCTTCCAACATGACAATGACCCAAAGCACACAGCTTGGATAACCAAGAAGTGGCTCCATAAGAAGCATATCAGGTCCTGGAGTGGCCTAATCAGTCTCCAGACCTGAAACTTTGTGTTGCTCTGTGACAGCCCCTGATCTAGAGATGTTTTGTGTGGAGGAGTGGGCTAAAATCCCATTTTCCGTATGTGCAAACCTGGTGAAGAACTATAGCAAACCTTTGACCTCTGTAACTGCAAACAAAGGCTTCTGCACTAAATATTACTTCTTGCCTTAAGACCCACTTTTACTTTTTGGCTTTTAGTACCGGGTGAGTTGTGTGGTCCTCTAGTTTATCAATTTTATTGTCTTTGTTCCATTTTTATTGTTTTTACTGTACACATCTTAATTGTTTTACCTATTCCATTTTTATGCACATAATGCTGGCAAACATGTTTATTGAAATGTGTCACTTTTTTGTCTGTGCAGGACTTTGGAAACTGGTCTTATAAAATGTGCTATATAAATAAAGTGATTTGGATTGGATTATGTTCTTTGTTCTATGTTCTTCTTGGCCATAGGATCCATTATTCATACATATAAATATGAATTGCATATATCATACTAAACTCATTTCAAAGTGAACAAGAGTAGAAGTTAAAGTAGAGGGTGTGAAACTCCTCATACATTTTTAATTTCTCCAAACTGTTAGGTTTACTCAAAATTACAATACTAACTTACTTCCCTCTTCCCTCTGCTCTAAACTTCTCTCATTTTCCCTTTCTCTATGCGCTGTTGTATTAGTCGCTCCCAGCGTTCCCGGGCACAGCTCCAGCGCGGCGTAACAGCAGAGAAAAAGCTGCGAGTGCGACTTGTGTGTGATAAATGACTTCTGGGGGCTAAAAATTGGGAGAGCACTTGTTTATGGCAGAAACATAATGTACCATAAATTCCACCTCCACTTTCCGGGCGCCCAGATAACGTTTGATCCAATTCAGTGCCGCTGCCGCTGCTCCTTCCTGCTCTGATTAAAAGGCACTCTCCTCAAAACACTTCCACAGCTGCGGCTTTGGTACAAAAAATATCTGCTCTCCATTTCTCTGCTGGTTCGACGGGCCCAAAGCGCTCCGTCTGTCCTCTGCCGGGACACGCTTTATCCTGCTTTGTGTCCTCAACAAAAAGCGGCTGAGTGGAATAAATAAACAGATGACAATAGTGAACTTGAAAGAAGCCATTAAGGGCGCACAGTGGGACACTCATGATGGAGGCTTTGTTGCTTTGCCTCAAATGTCTCACGTTTTCTGATAAAAAAGTGTGTATCATAACAACAAACTTTTTCCCACATTTTTTTGAGTTGTTTCTTGCTGATAAAGGAGGGTCTGAGGACAGTGATGATCCTGGACATGGGCTCCTATGTGTGTAAGTAAGTAAAGTTTATTTATAAAGCGCATTTTACAGACCAAGGTCACCAAAAGCACCTTACAATGTTCAGCGTTCAGATATTGTTCAATTCTCTCCACACGGTGGAGAGAATGAATAATACAATTAAAGAAAAAAAAAATGTTATGAATGACAAATACACAAGATGTTTTGAGACAGATGCAATGCAATAACAGACCCTAACTCCACTCCCTTTTTTAGAGCTCTTTGAATTCTTCACTTAGAGCCAAGCATGGATGTATTATATTAACTGGATAGGGTATTACTAGCTTGTAGCTGAATAACTCATGTGCTCGGGGGATTCTCGCGGTACTGCAGACTGAACCAGACTAAATTCACGTGGGCTACCCAGAAATTTTCCCCATAGAACTCAATGCATATCAAAACAGCTCAACCTCAGCTGACAGAGAACCTACAGCTTTCATAAAGGTCGGATTTTGTGGGGATTTTAGTGTCCCTTGTCATCCTGAACTTTTTTTCTTCTTAAATCCTTCGGTTTTGTTTAAATCCACACTTTAGTGCCACAAACTCTGCCCGTTTGGCTCTCGCTCTAACTCCCGCTCTGATGAACTGCTCTGATTGGTCAGAGCACAGCCGAGCCCCTCTGTGCACGTGCGTGAGAGCCACACACGTGTGTTTGGCGCAACGCATTATGGGAGATCATCCACTGCGCAGAACCGGGACGACCAGACAATGCCCAAATACAGGCGAGTTTCCCATAGATCTTTGCAAGTTTCCCATAGATCTTTGCGAGTTCCAGGCGACTTCCGCTAATCTTTCAGCCCCCATGCCGTCACAAAGCGCCACTGAGCACAAGCCATTGATTTGAATAGGGCGCCATCTTGGATCGCCGGGGCTTGGCGATCCAAGTAGGGGACATGGGACATACACGAGGTCCTCGCCTAATTTTGGGCATCGTCTGGTCCTCCCAGTTCTGCGATATATAATATATATATATATATAAGTTATATATATGTGTGTGTAAATATATGTACAGTGCCTTGCGAAAGTATTCGGCCCCCTTGAACCTTTCAACATTTCGCCACATTTCATGCTTCAAACATAAAGATATAAAAAAAATATTTTTTTTCAAGAATCAACAACAAGTGGGACACAATCGTGAAGTGGAACGAAATTTATTGGATAATATAAACTTTTTTGACAAATAAAAAACTGAAAAGTGGGGCGTGCAATATTATTCGGCCCCCTTGCGCTAATACTTTGTAGCGCCACCTTTTGCTGCAATTACAGCTGCAAGTCGCTTGGGGTATGTCTCTATCAGTTTTGCACATCGAGAGACTGGAATTCTTTCCCATTCTTCCTTGCAAAACAGCTCGAGCTCAGTGAGGTTGGATGGAGAGCGTTTGTGAACAGCAGTCTTCAGCTCTTTCCACAGATTCTCGATTGGATTCAGGTCTGGACTTTGACTTGGCCATTCTAACACCTGGATACGTCTATTTGTGAACCATTCCATTGTAGATTTGGCTTTATGTTTTGGATCATTGTCCTGTTGGAAGATAAAGCTCCGTCCCAGTCTCAGGTCTTTTGCAGACTCCAACAGGTTTTCTTCCAGAATGGTCCTGTAATTGGCTCCATCCATCTTCCCATCAATTTTAGCCATCTTCCCTGTCCCTGCTGAAGAAAAGCAGGCCCAAACCATGATGCTGCCACCACCATGTTTGACAGTGGGGATGGTGTGTTCAGGGTGATGAGCTGTGTTGCTTTTACGCCAAACATATCGTTTTGCATTGTGGTCAAAAAGTTTGATTTTGGTTTCATCTGACCAGAGCACCTTCTTCCACATGTTTGGTGTGTCTCCCAGGTGGCTTGTGGCAAACTTTAAACAAGACTTTTTATGGATATCTTTGAGAAATGGCTTTCTTCTTGCCACTCTTCCATAAAGGCCAGATTTGTGCAGTGCACGACTGATTGTTGTCCTATGGACAGACTCTCCCACCTCAGCTGTAGTTATCTGCAGTTCATCCAGAGTGATCATGGGCCTCTTGGCAGCATCTCTGATCAGTCTTCTCCTTGTTTGAGATGAAAGTTTGGAGGGACGGCCGGGTCTTGGTAGATTTGCAGTGGTCTGATACTCCTTCCATTTCAATATAATTGCTTGCACAGTGCTCCTTGAGATGTTTAAAGCTTGGGAAATCTTTTTGTATCCAAATCCGGATTTAAACTTCTCCACAACAGTATCTCGGACCTGCCTGGTGTGTTCCTTT